GCCGTGAGAACCTGAAATCTCACAAAAGCCGTTTAATCAGCAAGACGCCACGAGACACAAAGCAACCAACCACTGCAATAAAAATCTGAACGTACATCAGGAAAAACCTCCAGTGGTCGTCATCTGAGTCAATAAAGCTGGCTGCGTCAATGAACCACAGCACAAACGTCTGCAGTCTCTCGTGGTACGTCAGGAAGCCCGGTGTTGTCACTTCACACATATAGATCTCCCAGCTGCGATTACCATCTGAAACAAATATTACCATCACACCTTTGCCTTACACTAGTCGCCTGAGGAACCCACCACGCATTCCTCGTAGACAATAATAATCTTGTAAAACGTGGGTATAGTGCAAGCTATTGTAAAAGCGATGTTATAGTCCATCAAGTTATAGCAGAACACATTTTAGAGATTCCAGGATGAGTGAAGGTCCAATATAGAGGGATTTCATGTTGGGGAAAATTCATATTTTTCTTTTATATCAGCAGCAGGTCTGAGCAGGTACAAAGTTTACTGTCACAACCACACAAAATTCAGTAACAGCGTTGTATATGTTTTATAAGCAGAAACACTCAGTTTGAATCTCGGGAGAAGCACTGGCCATTATCAACGCCCATGGTAATTTCATTCTTCTTATTTTCAATGATAAACTAATTTATTTCATTCAGAATTTACACCTGTGGTTAATTTTCTTTCCCTGGGAGGAAATTCCCACAATTAATTACAATCTCCACAGTCTATCGGCTAATAAGTGTTTTAGCATCTCCAGATGTAATTACAAGGTTTTGAAGTGACAAAGAGTGTTTGAATATAATCTCTGCGATGAAGGTCGTTCACTGCTTGCCTTTGTGCTGCTGTATTTAGACCATGAACTCGGACAACAGCCAATAAAATAGAGTTTGGCTCTTCTGAACACCAAATAACAGTCTCTTTTGCAAAATTATGTACTCGAAAACTGACAACAGAATTTTCTTTATCAATGTAATGCAAATGTGTCATGTGAACTCTAATTACCTGAATGCTATAGCAAGGGTCAGGGCTCTTTAGCCCTGTGGGACGAGAAACAGAGAGAGACGCTGTACTAAGAAAAAGTGACAGAATCAATCATGCAGACTGACACTATACTAAGAAAAAGTGACAGAATCAATCAGCAGGCCACCGATTATTTCGTGCAGACTGACACTGGTTGTCTCCACAGTGAGAAGTTGGTAACTTACAGCCCGCGTTCTGAGACGTGGACAGAATCTGCCTTTAGTGAATTATATTTCTGTTTGGTAATACCTGACAAAGAGGAGGCTGGGGCTCGATTTTGGGCTGTTACGCCATATTAGTAGTAGCAGTAATACCTGACAAAACACTAAAGGAAATCAGCATTTAGACTTCAAAAACAGTGCAAAAGCAAACTTGGCCGATACTTTTATTCTGAATAGTAGATACACATGCCACCAACTACCGAGTTAACGTTACTTTACCATGTGTCTGGTAGCTGATGTATCATGCTGTATTAATTCAATGTATGAAAAGAATTAGAGTACCACAAGCTAACATTTTAATTTTATTAAATTCGTCCTAAAGGAAATATCGGAAGGTCCTTTCCGATACTTGGATTTTTTGAAACCTGATTCTCAGCTTCATCCACCGTCCATCCCCACAATCCACCTCAAAGTTCCATTTTAATATTATCTTACCACATCCTTGGTCTTGCGGGTGAATGTTTCTGAAAATGTTTCCTCAACAACATGTCATATTAATTTCTTCTCTCCCCCCCATCCTAGCTACATGCCCAACCCATCGCAGATTCCTAGGTCTCTTACATGACCTTTGAAAATCATGAAATTCTTCACCGTGCGATATCCTAAATTTATACTCACTTCATCCATTATTGCCAAACACTTTCTGAAGCACTTCGTCTTCAAATATTTGTAATTTGGGTCCTTTCCAACCAACCTTATGTATACAAAGGTATCTTGGAAGGAAACATCTGTATGAACGTGGTAAAATGATTGTGATTGATCAAATATGGAGACACTGCTCCAGATTCAGTGAATTAATAAATGTGGTACGCAACAAACCATCAGTGGCAAATGAATGCTGCAGTTCGCCAAAAGGCACAAAGTTGACGTCCTTCTCTAGGTGACTGCAGAAATCATCCAAGTTTGTGTAGAACCCTGGCTGTAGCTTCTCTGATATCTTGTCAAAAATCTCATCAGCCTGCCAACACGACAATTCAAAAATTAGTCAATGACAGGGAACAAGAAGAAATTCAAACAACACAAACCCTGGTGCCGAAAAGGTACATTATTTTACTTCAGTTTTGTGATATCCGAACACAAATAAAGCAATTCAAATGCGTAATTTTTTCAAAACACTTTATAACAATTAAAAATTCTCTGCATACATGAAAGCTTCATTATTATCCTGACTTATCTCAGGATTTTAATAGAGGTTTTGTGCCGTGTGGTAGACCTAAATCTTTTACGTCCATCCTTTAGAGCTGGTATATCCACGGAACTGTCAGCAACTGAGCCTGTAATTTCCATCTCTGGCACAGAAGTATCAACTTCCAGGTTCACTTCACCACTATAAATGTCACAGTTCATTTTGTGTGCCACAACCACAAAATAATGTGCACGTCACATCCGTAAGGCATCCCTATCAATAACAACAAAGTATAAAAGAAATAAAATGATATATCAGTTAACTACTGATCAGTGGTTCCATCTAGAGAGAAGAAATTCAAATTATTGCTAGGAATTAAAGAAATTGTGATTTTACTTTGTAGCCATAAAATTCTAAATGCTACAAGTTGAATCAGGATAATTTATTCAGGACAAAATTTTAAACCTGAGTTAATTTGAGATAACAAGGGAAGGGGTTAAATGGCAGAAATAAGTGTAAATGATTGGTATTGCGTATTTTAAGGTTCCAAAGGCCATCTATAACTATTGTACTTAATTGGTGCCCATCACCTACCAGTTGGCTGGGATCAGTAAGGATGATCATCTTTTCAATATACACACATAAGAATTTCAACACCAAAAGCAATAAAAAGGACACTTCAAAACACACGTACACATTTTAATAAACTTTATTTCATGGCAACTGTTTGAATGGTTAAATGGTCGACAATGTGCACAACCTTCAAACACATCAATAATTCTAAAAACTATCAGTCAAGCCGCAAACTTTACGTCTGCACATTTCTGTAGTATTTTAAAATTAACTTCGCTGCTCATCAAGGCCGGGGCGTGATGCTGACCACTCACCCCCATCTAGTGCCGAGGTCAAGGAAGAGAGGAGCTATACCTCCTCTCACCCCAAGCGCCTACATGGCGTATAGTGACACAAACTTTACTTTACTCATCAGTCAGGTGAATCTGAAGGTGCATTATAATCTGTAAAAATAGATCCAGGTTTGCGGCTAGCTAAACCCGGGGTGGTGGGGGGGGACATTTAGTGTTTCCATCCTTTCTATTCTACCCAAAAGATGGAAGAAGATCCAACTTCTGAAACGGTACATTTTGCTTCTATTTGTAATTTAGATTATGGACAAAGAGAGAAAGAATAATAAAAACCAAACAAATTTTTTTACATATTTATCTGATTTAGTGTTTCATCGATAAGAAATCTGCAATCCGCACCTGAATATAGACAAGGCAAGTTTATTTAATATGAGATTTCAGCTGCGAGTATGAAGAAGGCTGTCCTCTGGGTTGCCGCACTACATAATTCAGTATAAGCTTAATGACGTTTCGGAGGTACTTGCTGCCTCCATCTTTGAAGTGATGAGTAAGCCACATGCAAGAAATAAATATATGGGAACCAGCTGGACAAGATAGAACCTTGGCTGGACTAATGGGGAAGGAAGCCAACGGAGGGGAGGAGGTTATACCACAGCCTAGCCAGAAGACAGAGGGGAAGACATTGCAGTTTTTAATAATGTGTGGGTTAGGTTAAACAGAGCCCAGTGGTAGACTCTCATGGACACAGAAATGAACCATCAGGTGCAATAAGAGGCAGGACATTTCTAAATGTCTCTGCTCCATGGATTTATTTATTTTTATCAAGAAAGTAAAGACAGGCTGAATATACAGCATTCATCAAAGAATTCATAATGCAAGACTATGAAAACGGTCCCTGTTGAGTCAAAGAGGGTATAGAAAACTGGCCGTTTTGTATGTAAGACTGGCAAAAACATAAAGCAAAATCTCACCTCAATCCCCTCGAACTTGTCAGGAGTCACTTTATCTGTGTAAGTGATGCCGAAGTATGTGGTTAGCCTGGCAGCACTGTAGTACAGCTGGATCTTCAGGTCCTGATAGCCAAAAATACTCTCTCTGAAACACACAGCACGAGTAAGTCGAGTCAAGAGAACCGGACATCAACAATATAAGCAATGAAATCTATACTCAGGACAGAAACCACATGTGAACGTAGCAGGGCTGTGGAGTCGGAGTTAGAGTCGTGGAGTCGCAAGCAACTGTACCGACTTCGATATAAAATCTTAAGAACAATTTCTCTACCATGTGAGCCGCCAGCGGCCTCACGTTTAGGGAGATTCAACTACACGTAGAGCCACATTGTGTGGGAAT